AGCTACGAGCACGAAGAACGTTGTTTTCACAATACTCGAATTGTGACATCGAAAATGCACCACGAGAAATATATAAGTAACAATGTTTGAATGTACATCAGACATTTTTAATCATCAAAATTAATCATATAAATTTAAACTTGAGAAAATAACGGATAAAAACTATGATAGTGCAAAACTCTGAAGAAAAAAAAAACATATGGATATCTATTCTTACCTATCACTATAACAGAATATTGTCCATACCATTATGACAACGTTAGGTTGTTCCTTTTTGGAATATTACAATTTATAGGTTAAATTCATGTATTTAAAATCTATAAAAGACATGCTAATATGCTTGCAGTGGAAGGCTATATGACTCTTCTCAATGATCGCATCCTGGTATGTATATTGATCACTGCCATTTTGGCATTAATATAAGAGTTCTGTAAGACAGAAAACAACAAGTATTCTAAATATGGCATGTAACATCATATAAATCGGGACGGTTTTTTATGCCATATGTTCGTGTAGTCCCATATAGGCCTACATCTTTATGTGTACAGTGCTCGTAACTTTACCAAGACTGGGTCAAATTTCTTATAATTTTGATGATTCCAGAACTTTGCAGTAAAAGTTCACAAATACTTATATATTATGCTAGATGATCAACCTTTTCTGATCGATCCCAACAACGTTTCTTTCACAATGCAATCGCAACTGGCCAGCAGCTAGAACTCAACTTACATATGTATTACAATTTTTAAAATGGTTAGTCTACATGAGTGGTTTAAAAACAAATTAGTTTTATACCAGTAAATAACTTGGTAGCTACATGAGCTAACATGAAAAGGTATGAATCTCAAATAAAGATACTCATAAGGCATTGCTTTCAACTATGGGTGAATTATGAAATACATGTAGGCTATAATACACACCGCGGGGTGAAACAAATGTCGTAGTTAACGTAAAGATATTCCATATTTTACCTGTATGTCTGAGAACAGATTGTTCATATAAGCTTCAAAACAAATTATAATTCCGATCTATCTCAGTATTCCCTATAATAATTATTTGCAGTGCGTTGTAGTCTATACTAATATCCAGGGGCGGTCGAGCGACTTCCAAAGTGGGGGGGCACCAACAAAAAAGGGCACTTTCTGAAGAAAAAAGGGCACCTACAGTGGGAAATCTCAAAGCGAAAATATACAATTTTTTTGACATTGGTACATACCCCTGCATTGTGATTACATTATCAGGGATGATTTCAATATTTGTTTCTCTTCATACATCATACAAGATATCGCTTAAGCATCATACTTTACAGTTGGGTGGGATGTCTGAATATGCATTTACGAGCTAGCGAAGCGAGCGAGAAAATTTTTAAAGATCTGCGAGGTCGCAGTGCGAAAAATTACATCTTATAAAGAGGAAAAAAAACCAATCGTGATGGGGTTATAAGCACATTCTCATAACGGAAGACTGAAAAGACCTTTGATAACTTACATAATTATATCATCTTTAAATGTGAGCCAGCGCAGCGAGCGAACTTTGGGGGAAATTGCTCTTAGTCGCTTTAAATAAGGGGCATGTTTAATGATTTCATGAAAAGGGGACAATTATCGAAAGGGATAAGACACTCATTAGAACAGAAAAGGAGCACGTGTCAAAGTACAAAGGATAATTATAAGAGGTGAACATGAGGCATTTTTTTCACCTGAAAAGAGGCACTCACCTGATGAAAAAGAGGCGTTTACGAAAATGGGAAATAGGCATTTGTTGACGGAAAAAGGGCACCCATCAGATTTTGATAGGGGCACTTATAAGAGGTGAAAAGAGGCACTGACCAGATATGAAAAGGGGCACTTATGAAAATGTAAAAGGGGCACTTATAATAAAGGAAAATGTGCATTTGTTGAATGAAAAGGGGGCACCGTTCAAATTTAAAAAAGGGCCGTTATGAGAAGGGGAGGGAGCTTTTCTTTTTAATGGGTGCACTTATCATAAGGAAAAGGGGCACTTATTAGAAAGGGAAAGCGGTAGTTATGAGAAGGGGAAGGAGCTCTCTCTTTTTAATGGGGGCACTTATCATAAGGAAAAGGGGCACTTATTAGAAAGGGAAAGCGGTAGTTATGAGAAGGGGAAGGAGCTCTCTCTTTTTAATGGTGGCACTTATCATAAGGAAAAGGGGCACTTATTAGAAAATAAAAGGGGCACATGTTAAAATTAAAGGTGTGCTCATCCGAGTTTAAAAAAGGGGTAGTTATTAAAAGGAGAAGGGGCACTTCTTACAAAGGAAAAAAGGGGCAGTTGTCAAAGTAAAGGAGCACCTCTCAGTTTTGAATAGGGCAATTATCAGAGGTGAAGGGGGCACTTATCAAAAGTGAAAAGGGGCACTTCTCGTACCTGAAAAGAGGCACTTACTAGAGATTAAAAAGGGCACTTATTAAAGATAATTTCAAGATTTATGAGAATGGAAAATGGACACTTATTGCAAAGGAAAATGGGAACGTGTCGAAGGAAAAGGGGCACGTGTCAAAAATAAAAGGGCACTCGTCAGAGGTGAAAAGGGGGGAAGGGGCACTGTTATTTAGTAATAGGGGCACTTGTCAAAGTAAAAGGGGCACTTTTCCTATGTAAAAAGGGGCACTTTTGGGGTATCTGAAAAAGTGGGGGGGCACTGTGCCCCCCCTGCCCCCCCGGGAGAACCGCCTCTGCTAATATCTGCATTTTCGTAGATAATTCCTATTGTATAATGAATTATATATGAAAATGCAGGTAGCAAATGATAGTCGTGTATTCACGAAACAAATATTCACAAAACAAATATATTGACCAGTATTACGGTGGGCCTAACGCAATGTAAATGTAATCAATGTTTAGTGTAAGTTCACCCCATCTTGTTTTGTGCTCCTCTCACGTCGTATAATTATACAAAATTGTGTTATAGGCCTACTTTATAGGCATACTTGTTTATTGTTAGATGAACATTACAGGATGGATAGAATGAACGCATGCCGCTGGCTTGACAATAAAAGAATTATGTTCAAAAGTACTGACTTGTTCATCTCATTCAGAAGATGAGAATACCGCATTACAAATCAATCACAATATGGTTACCAGGTAATATCCTCAAGATAACCTTAAAGGAAACCAAAACCTTCATACTAAGTTACTTTTATTGTAAAGTTTAAGATATTTGAAAAATATCAGTGAAAATTTGAACAAAATCGGGCAAGGAACAAGGAAGTAAGAGCTTTTTGAAATGACTAGTCACTAGAGGGCGGTATTCAATTTGATGACATCATCTGTGGACAACTCTCCATGCCTTTTGTACATCAAATTTCAAGTTTTTCCTTCTTTCTTGTGATTGAGATAATGTACTCCCCCGAAAGCAAGATATATAATGCAAAATGATACTCTAATTCACATGTTATGAAGTCGGATCAAGAACACAAATAAATACGAAGAAAACAAAAAAAATGGTGAAATTTTATGTACAAAAGGCATGGAGAGTTGTTCACAGATGATGTCATCAAATTGAATACCGCCCTCTAGTGACTAGTCATTTCAAAAAGCTCTTACTTCCTTATTCCTTGCCCGATTTTGTTCAAATTTTCACTGATTTTATTCAAATCTTTTAAACTTTACAATAAAATTAACTTAGTATGAAGGTTTTGGTTTCCTTTAAATTAAAGACCTTTACACTTGGCTATGACACACTTATTTCATGACGGTAGCTGAGCAAATATGAACTTACAATGTTGTCATATGAATACACGCATGTGTAATCAAATAAAATTACACATACATCACTCAAAAGCAGTCATGCTTTTAATGGTGCATGATTTGGGAATTTGAAACTGAATTAAGCCATCTTTCAGATCGAGGTATACCGTATAGAGAAGGAAGAATATGAGAGAAGAACGACATTCCAAAACGTCGTGACAACAAGGTTGCGTTTATCGACCAAATTTTTGGCTAGAATCAGGTTTCTCAAACGTCTTTCAAGCAACGCAAAGCCTTTTTTTTGCGTCTTTAGATATGGGCATATCTAAAGATGCAAAAAGGTGTGTTTTGAATGTGACATACAGCCAGAATCACGTTTCTGAGAGACCGATAAACGCAAAGCTGTTTTGAACCTCATATACAAATAGGAATTCCCAGGCTAGTCTGCTTCCCGGGTCAAACGGCGCTCAGAGCAGCTGCGAAGAGACAAGGCCTTTATTGTGAATCGTGAAGAGACGATGAACGCGACATCCCGCAAAGTGGGGTTCGATAGTGGGGTATGATAGTGGGGTACGATATGTTATCTAGTGGCATGCCATGCCCCGATAAACGCGCCCCAAGATGAACAAGAAAGGGGAGGGCAACCCTAGTCTGCAGGCACAGACCCTAATTTGACACTTAATCAAAAAAAATCATTGTGCCTTGAGAGAAGTCTAGCCCAGCTAGGAAGGAAAGAGGATGGAAAGAGAAAGAATCCTAAAAATAGTCATTTATGACATGAAATTGTACATATGTATATATATAAATAATTAATAAAATAGTGTGTGGCAAAAATAGTCAACTGTGACTGATTGCCAAACAAAAACAAATCAAGAAGAAGAAGAAGGTTGTGTCAGGAGCAGCTACAGTACATGGCATATGGTAGTCTTATAGTGCAGACTCACTTTTACGACTGACCAGGGTTTGTGCTTGCAGACTAGGGCAACCCTTCGAGACAATCTTGCACATGTATGCAGGCTCGGCTCGACTTTCACATTTTTTCTACCACGTCCATGGTATTAAGGTTGTATCGCGTTATAATTCTTGCACATCAAAATTATGTTCGATAAAAAAACAAATGATCCATGGAAATAGCAAAAATTTCTAACGGATTTCCATAGAAGAAAAAGTTATTGGAGTCTCATTTCCTCCGATGGTAGACTAGTTGATTTAGTGTAATGACTCGATGTAAACATCGCTCTTCGTCTTCCACTGTATTCTTCGCCCCGATAATCATGAACCTTTATTCACATGCGGGGAATACTATTTTGACTCGAGGGTAGCGGCCTTGCATTCTGGTTTTCTCAATCTGCATTCAGTTTATTCATTTACTATTGCCAATGGAGCAATACATGCCAACATTTGACATTGGCGTTAACGGTGAGTGTTTTGTCTTGCGTGTATTCAAGCAAATGCGTTTAGGAGAATGATAAAGAAAAGAGTTAGACTACTTGAGTCTTTACTTCTAATCTAAGTTGATTTTGGTATAACGTGTACCTGTATGAAGGGGTGACCAAAGTTCGCGCAGATTTTAGAACAAATTAGAAAATGTGATATTCGATCCATGTTTTCTCATATTCTACACAAATTTATTTATTTTAATTACTACCAAATGGACGGCAAAGTATTTTACTACCAATTGGTTCAACTACAACATTTATCGTCGAAGGATTTCGGAGATATCGCGATCTAAAAATTCGATGTCCGATCGTGCATGCGCGCTGCATCTAAAAAAAGTCATAAAAACAACGAGACCTAAGTTCACGCACGGGGGTTTACAGCTGATTTATACAAAAATACGATCCATCAAAAATAAGGTAATTTCATAATTTGCAAGGCAAAATATCATACAACCAGACGGTACCACTTATTACTTACAATTTTGAGGATATCTGCTCTCAAAATGAAGATTTCCAGACCCTTATCGGTAAGTTGGTAATTTTTCGGAACGGACGCAAATAACTGCAAAATGTGCCGATCTTTTGTCAATATTTTCACAATTTCGCACCCAATTCCAAAGAAAATTTCGTTTCTGGGTAATTTTATGATCCTCTTTCCATTGGTGATATCAGATTTTCGAAATCTTACCGATTTTTTGAGAAAGCGAACTTTGGTCACGCGCGAACTTTGGTCACACAGCCATACGTTATAGCTTATTCAAACATATATGCCAACCAAGTGCCAAGTACCGTAGGCCCACTACTGGTTACTTAGACCGAATTTTCCGTCTCTTTCGTTCGTTAGCCTCTTATTGGGGTAGGGTCGGCCGGCTCTCTCTTTAGAGACGGAAGCCGTTTATACACATGTCCTTGCTAACGCCACGGCCAGTCCTGGTCGTAGCGTTTTGCCCCCCAAATCCCCCAAAATGTCATTTTACCTCGAGCATGTTATATTGTAAATTAGGCCTAGGCTATAATAAATCAGTTCCACTTACCAACTTGACTGAAATAATCAGTTTAATAGTCCCTTTTTAGGAAATTATGGGTCAAAATCGAAATCCATTTTGAAAATCTTTTTCAACATGGATTCCGATTTTGACCCATAATTTCCTAAAAAGGGACTATTAAACTGATTATTTCAGTCAAGTTGGTAAGTGGAACTGATTTATTATAGCCTAGGCCTAATTTACAATATAACATGCTCGAGGTAAAATGACATTTTGGGGGATTTTGGGGGCAAAACGCTACGACCAGGACTGGCCGTGGCGTTAGCAAGGACATGTGTATAAACGGCTTCCGTCTCTAAAGAGAGAGCCGGCCGACCCTACCCCAATAAGAGGCTAACGAACGAAAGAGACGGAAAATTCGGTCTACTGGTTACTGTACTAGCTGGGGGCTTCGTGAATCGTGGTGGTAAAGAGTAAGGCTTCTCTAATTCTGTACCTAATGTTTGTTTGATTTTTTTGTTTTGTTGTTGTTGATTATGTTGTAAAGATTTGCTGTAAACGAAAGTCTCTTTTTTCTGGTGCTTTATCGTTCTTTCATGCTTAGTGAGTTGATTTGTTTTGATGTTGATTGTCTTCAGGAAGGGGAGGGGTATGTGGGAGGGGGGGGGGGGGGGTAGTATGGATGCACCCATTGATCATGGTATGGTATGGTATTTACTTCATTCTTCACAAAAAACATATACAATACATACAGAGTATTAAAACAAAAATTAAAAAGATTTTTAAATATAATACCTCCACCTACAGAAGAGAAGGGGGTGCCGGAGCCATATTATATACGTTTTGTTTTTATGTAAATGTATCGCCATAGAAAGACAATCTGATTGGATTGTGGGATATACATTTATGTAGGTCCAAGGCCACAGGGGTCAATCTCTGAAATTACAGGTAGACCTAATTATCCTCGTTATCGCGATATCTCGAGAACTACTTGAGTATATGAACTTCAAACCTGATGACGGTATACATGTATATATACTAACATAGGAAGACAATCTGACCAGATTTTGGGGTATGTAGGTCAAAGGTCAAATGTAAAAGATCATAGGGGTCAATCTAGTTACAGGTATTAAACTTGTTATCACAATATCTCAAGAACTACCTGAGGCTGAGGTATATGTTCTTCAAACTTGGTGACAATATGTATCAGCATAGGAAGACAATCTGATTAGGTTTTTGGAGTAAGTACAAAATGAAGGCAAAGGTCATACAGGTGAAGTATTAGACTTTATATCGTGGTATCTGAAGCACAACTAGAGATTAAGTTTCAAACGTGAGTATAGTCTGTATCACCATATAAAGACAACCTGATTAGATTTTAGGGGTAAGTATTAAAGGCCAAATCCACTCCAAAAGTGAATTGCATTTAATAGATGCAGAAAAACAAGAGAAACAGAGCAAACAAAATTTGAGTAAAATCAGATAACTAATAAGGAGGTACATAAGGCCAGGGTATTTATGCTACATTATTGTAGAGCGCTTAGAGACTTCTGATAAAATTGTCAGGTGCTATATATAAGCAAATATAATTATTATTATTTTAATATAAATACTTTATAAAACTTCACATTTTTCATGATTTAACTGAAACAAATTACTCCATGCAGCATCCACATGAAAACATAACTTGGATGCTGGTGTGAGGAAATATGATTCTTTTTAGGGTGAAAATCAGAAATTCATATTAACAATATAAATAAAACAATTAGTGGATAGTGAGGCAATGACCTCATAAACTCATCTTCCTCAACAACATTCTGGGAGACTTCAACGCAGATACTGTTACCAGTAACCAGACCAAAAAGACAGGTTCTATCTTAAAGGACTTCATGCATCCACGAGCCTCACAGCCGCACATTGTGATGAGAATGACCATACCTACATGTACTGTACAGATGATGGAAGACATAAATCCAGCATTGTTGGCTTTCTGGTGCCAACTAATGAGCTTCCCTTGTACTCTAATACCAAGATAACTGGGAATGAAATGACTAACACCTCAGATCATCTTTTGGTCATCACAAGTCGTCTAATTCAACCCAAGGATGCAAGACGAACTGACCTCAGTGACAACCTGCAGAGCACTCCCCTGCACAGGATGAAAATCAAATGGCACACTATAGAGCGCAAAATGGTACAGGAGAAATATACCACTCCCATGGAAAGAATAGCACTGCTCATCTTTCAAAACAACAACTCAATTCTTCTTGATGACACCTCGATTGACAGACTATTGCAAGAATTCATCTTGACAATGCAGATGACCTCACTAGCACTCCCGCACACAGTTCTCTCCAAGAAGAAAAAGGGCAAACCTGAATGGACACCACAAGTTCAAGCAGCTTACGACGCTGCCCAGAATGCCAGAAAAACCTGGCTGAAGGAAAGTAGTGCTAAGACAGGAAGAAGATATAATGATCACTTGAGAGAGAAGAAGTCGTTCAGGAGCTGCCTGAGACAAGCAAATGCCATCCAACGACGTAATCTTCAAAAGCAAGTTGAAGAGGCCTCGCGCTCGGACCAAACACTCTTCTACCATCTGATAAAGAAGAGCAAAGTAACAAGCAGCAAAACGTAACTACCTCCATTGAATATGATGGCCACATACTTGGATAGCACAAGTATTTCACAGACCTGGCATATAATCCCTCCCACCTCCTTTCATCTGAGGAAAGCAAGGACTGTGCAGATATGCCTGCTGAGAGTACCCAATGTGCCCCCATGAAAGACCCTTCAACATCCCAGTACCATCACATTTCACATCTGAAGTATCCTGAGCTCCAGGCTGCCATTGATTCACTCAAACCAGGCAAAACCCAGCGGCCCTGACAATATCAGCTCAGAACACATCAAACATCTCGGCATAATCGCACAAAGACTCCTCCTCTTCCTGAATGCAATCCTACAAAGTGGTCACTGCCCAAATTCACTGAAGACAGGAATCATTCTGCCCTTCCTCAAAGGCAAAGGAAAAAGTACTCAGGATCCTCGCAACTACAGTGGCACAACTAACTCCAACACTCACAAAGCTGCTCGAAACCTGCATCAGGCCTCGCCTCGAGGCGCAGCTGTCCATCAAAGACATCCCCGACCAACTACAGTTCGGCTTCTGCAAAGGCTTCTCATGCCAACTGACTGCGTTGTGCCTTCAACTCACAATCGAGATCACAGGAGCTTCAAAGAGACCCCTGTACATTTGCTTCCTGGATGCAGAGAAAGCATTTGATAAAGTTTGGCACCTTGCCTTACTCCATAAGCTAAGGAATTCCGAAGCTGATCAGGACATCCAGCACATCATACGCAACCTGTATAATGGAATGGTAAGTCAAGTCCTCTGGGATGGAAGGGTCACACGAACCATCCAAATCCAACAGGGTGTTCGTCAAGGTGGAGTCCTTTCTCCCACGCTATATACTCTGTTCGTCGATAGTCTGATCAAGAAGCTCAGAGACAGTCAGCTAGGATGCATAATTACATGTAATGGCTGCTACTCCGGTGTCATTGTGCTTGCAGACGATGTCGCCTTGATCAGCAACACACCATCACAGCTGCAAGAGATTATCACGGCAACCCAAGCTTACACAAGAGAGTGGCGCTACAAAATCAATCCCGCCAAGAGTGCAGTTGTGGTGATGAATGCTCGTAAGTCGGACAGCCAACAGGAATGGACAATGGGTGACCTCACTATTTCCTGTAAAGACTCTCGCGTTCATCTTGGGATCACACAGTCATCATCTCAGACTGATCTGACTGATTGCATCATCTCAAAGGGTCTTAATGCCTTTTACGCCCTCTGCGGTGCAGGGGCCCATACGCTAGGTCTTGTTGCTCTCCTCTCAGTACGCCTTTGGAACATCTACTGCATCCCCAGGATGCTCTACGGAACATCTATCTTACACCTCAATAAGTCGACGTTATCCAAACTAAACCGTGCACAGACCCATCAATTCAAGCGTATCCTAGGCGTTCCTGTGGATGAGACTGTTTCCCTCCTAACAGGCCTCATACCAATCAGCCAACGAATTGGCCAAGAAAAGCTACTGCTGCTTGGTCAACTACTGGACCTCGACTCCACCAGATTCGAACGGTGAACCTTTCTTCTTGCCCTCAGCATCGGTACTCCCTCAGTAAAAAGCCTGAAAGGTATCATGGCTATGTACAAGCTTCCAACCATTGAGGACCTTATTACAAATCCCATTCCCTACGTCTTCTGGAAGCGCAGAGTTAAGAACTCAATCTCTGCTGCAGTCGAGGAAGCTACACAGGAAGGAGCTGCCTCCAAGTCGTCCCTCGCATTGTGGCATGGAAAATCCATCAATCCAAGGAACCTCTACCCCAAAGACCCACCATCAACAATAATCAGACAGGCACTGACCATAAGAGCACAGCTCCTCACATCAACCTACATTGTACCTCACCCGAACCTTTCTCTCCAAGATTAAGAAAGCAACCAACACAAAGTGTCCTCTATGTAATCTTGAGGAGGATACCGTAGTTCACGCTGTGGCCGCCTGCTCGACTACTGTGAACCTACTGGAAGACCTTATCGACAGAGCCAGTAGACTCCTGTATAATGCCCTCGACTCTGCACCAAATACACCATTGCTCAACAGCCAGGACCCTTCCCATCAGACTTGCGCTATTCTCTTGCCATATGATCCATCCCTTCCCTACACTGTGAATGATTCTATTTTAAAGATGACGCTTCACTATCTTTACTAAATTCATGCCCATCGCCTGCACTCCATACCTTCCAACTAAGGATTTTATAACATATTTACAGTAGCCTACTACTTCGAATGCGATAAACTCACTGATCTCCGAAAAGCGGAGGGACAACAACAACAGAGAGAGTTGCCAATTTTATTTGTCTTGTGATTTTCATAGTTTTTCTGATTGGCTTTGTCTAATTTTTCTGCTTCTATTGAAAGTAAATTATTTTTGGAGTGGACTTGCCCTTTAAAGATACTATGTCCCTTTGCAGCCAACATCAAATTCTATAGAACTTTGCAGGAATTATGAATATGTCATGTATGTCCTATCCTATCTGTGAAATTTAAACGTTAGCAGTGTCCTAATATTCGAATTATGCAAGGAAACCCATTTACTTGCTAGACTTCACTGTCAGACACGTTTGAGTGATGACTAGCTTGTTTTCTTCTTTGGTAAACATAAAATGAGCTGTAAAGGGTACATGAGCATTTGTCTACATCAATAACCCACTTCTTATAATGGCCTAAATTGAACTGATTGAATCTTTGTGCAGCATAAAATGTAGGACCATTAGGTACAATGGTCTGAAAATCAGACTATTACTTACTGGCTCTATAGCTCTTAAGTCGATTTGACAACTAATAGTCGTTGTTTTCCCACTTAAAGACATTTTCAAGCCCCCTTTTTATATGGAAGTTCTAACATTTAGGGTATAAACATTTCAAGAGGAGAGAATTCAGTCAGATTGCTATGTTTGCTATTTCACATCATTTAAGTTCAGTGGTACATGTACATGTATGGGTATTTCCCAGTATTTCCTTACTATTGTGCCAGTCAAGCCACACAATTTTTATTGTATGTTGATTTAGAACATTTCAAATCAACTGTATGATGTGGTTTTAACCCATGTATATGTACATACACCTGTAGATGTATGTACTGTTGGGAGATTGACAGCTCATGGGTAGCCAACTGGAGACGGTGGAGTAGCATATCTTGAATTAGGATCTTTAAGATATAAATATAATATCCAAACAAAACAAAATTTAACATGATAGAATTCAGTCAGATTGCTATGTTTGTTCTTTCACATTATTCAAGTTCAGTGGTACATGTATGGGTATTTCCCTGGAAATCGCCAACCCTCCTGGGCTCCAACCAAAATTTGTAGGAATCACCTGCAGAAAAGGGTGGATATGCCCCCACGCAGACTTGGGGGCAGCATCCCTCAAAGTCCCCCTATGGCAATAATTATACATTTGTGAACATTATATAAAAAAGAATCATGTTGATATAGGAAGCATTCCTCAGGAAGAGGGATATCAAATAAAATGATATGCTACTGACACCTTCAGTGGGAGGGGGCTTGGGAAATGTACCCCCACCCCAAACAAAGGATGCCCTCTGGTTTACATTTTTAACTTCTTCCCCCGAAAAAACGCATGGCCAGATTTTCACCAAACTTAATAGGAATCATCCTTAGGCAAGGGAGTTTTTAGTTCTTCAAATGTGGTACATACCTCCAAGGGGGCTTGGGGGGTAGCCTGGAATATATATATATGCACCCTGCAAACAGGAATGCGATCACAGTAAACTTTAAAATATGTGCATGCACGAATCTTGAAAACTGTTTAAAAAATTGTAGAAATTGTTCCATTTGAATCTTCAAAATGCTGGGTTACCCTCATTTTTTATTTCATAAAATTCATATTTTGATAGATCAAGAAGTGTAGATATGATGATTTCATACCAAATGTTGGTATGGATTCTGGCTAAACAGTGTAGGAATAATTTCCATCTGAAGAAGACCTAACTTTATACATGCCTCTGCTGGGTACTTAGGAACAGCACCCTCAAATTGCCCTACTGTTTCAACAAATGCTATGTTCCTGGTGCAAAATGGGATGAAAGTTAGTTCCCTTATTGTGAGGCCCCTACTGGGAGTAACACCCCTCCCCCATCCCCCCAGAAAATACCCCTCTGGTTTACGTTTTTGACTTTGTCTGAAAAAAAATTGCATGGCCAGATTTTCACCAAACTTGGTAGGAATCATCATGAGGCAAGGGAGTTTTTAGTTCTTCAAATGTGGTACATACCTCCAAGGGGGCTTGGGGGGTAGCCTGGAATATATATATGCACCCTGCAAACAGGAATGCGATCACAGTAAACTTTAAAATATGTGCATGCACGAATCTTGAAAACTGTTTAAAAAATTGTAGAAATTGTTCCATTTGAATCTTCAAAATGCTGGGTTACCCTCATTTTTTATTTCATAAAATTCATATTTTGATAGATCAAGAAGTGTAGATATGATGATTTCATACCAAATGTTGGCATGGATTCTGGCTAAACAGTGTAGGAATAATTTTCATCTGAAGAAGACCTAACTTTATACATGCCTCTGCTGGGTACTTGGGAACAGCACCCTCAAATTGCCCTACTGTTTCAACAAATGCTATGTTCCTGGTGCAAAATGGGATGAAAGTTAGTTCCCTTATTGTGAGGCCCCTACTGGGAGTAACACCCCTCCCCCATCCCCCCAGAAAATACCCCTCTGGTTTACGTTTTTGACTTTGTCTGAAAAAAAAATTGCATGGCCAGATTTTCACCAAACTTGGTAGGAATCATCATCAGGCAAGGGAGTTTTTAGTTCTTCAAATGTGGTACATACCTCCAAGGGGGCTTGGGGGGTAGCCTGGAATATGTATATGCACCCTGCAAACAGGAATGCGATCACAGTAAACTTTAAAATATGTGCATGCGCGAATCTTGAAAACTGTTAAAAAAATTGTAGAAATTGTTCCATTTGAATCTTCAAAATGCCGGGTTACCCTCATTTTTTATTTCATAAAATTCATATTTTGATAGATCAAGAAGTGTAGATATGATGATTTCATACCAAATGTTGGCATGGATTCTGGCTAAACAGTGTAGGAATAATTTTCATCTGAAGAAGACCTAACTTTATACATGCCTCTGCTGGGTACTTGGGAACAGCACCCTCAAATTGCCCTACTGTTTCAACAAATGCTATGTTCCTGGTGCAAAATGGGATGAAAGTTAGTTCCCTTATTGTGAGGCCCCTACTGGGAGTAACACCCCTCCCCCATCCCCCAGAAAATACCCCTCTGGTTTACGTTTTTGACTTTGTCTGAAAAAAAATTGCATGGCCAGATTTTCACCAAACTTGGTAGGAATCATCATCAGGCAAGGGAGATCTAAAGTTGTTCAAAAGGGGTACGTACCTCCAAGGAGGCTTGGGGTAGCCTTGAATATATATGCACCATGCAGACAGGAATGCAATCACAACAAACTTTTAAATATGTGCAGACGCAAATCGTGAAAACTGTCAAATAAATTGTAGAAATTGTTCCATTTGATCTTTGATTGTATTTGATGTATCTCCCAAAGTTCCTCAGTGGCAGTAATTCCACATTTATTTCTTCTTCTTGAAAGCCTATGGCTGGATATTTCTAACCAAAATTAGTAGGAATCACTTACAGGAAAGGGAGATCTAAAGTTGTTAAAATGGGGTATATTACCTCCAGGGGGCTTGGGGCCGCCTTCAACATCCACCAATCCAAATAGCAATGCGAGCATGGCAAAATTAACAACAACTACTACTACTACTACAACTACTAACTAGTTGCTCCTATTTACGACAACTACTTCTCATACTAAAACTTACCAGGTACATGTAGTTTTAAAAATGAAACAATGTGGGCAATTCAGATCAACTACTGTTTCTTTCTTGTCATTTAATTGCGCTTTCACTTGACCATTGTCCATAAATGTGTTACTGTATAAGTGTGGACATTACCAATGGTATGTTTCATTACTTAATGTAGGCTCACCTACCATTATTTTCTTCCAGATCGTGGCTTGTTCTTCTGACTGACTCAATCGATTTGCCAAGATGCCTGTAGCACTAAGTGAGTGGAGGGTCCGAATCGGAACATTCGTTCATTGGATTAGGGAGTATGAGGTTCAGGAGAGGAGAGAAAGATTGCTTAAAGAAAGGATTCGAAGACTGAAGGTTCTTTGCGAGAGACTTGAAGCAAAAAGGGGTGATTCTGGAGAGGAGTCTGAAGATGACAAAAGCAGACAAGATGGCCCTGATCCCAAGGGATGTCCTCATAAAACTGTGAACATTCGGTCATCAGGAAATTCATCAGTTATCAAGGATTTACTAACTTCATGTGATCAGTGCATACAAGATTTATTAACAGCAAGTGATTCTCATATCAAGGAGATACTCACTCCTTCTGGTAGTAGCATCAAAGAACTCATTACCCCAAATGACTGTAGCATCAGAAGTCTAAACTCATTGAATGGTCCGACTATCAAAGATATAATCACACCAAATGATTCTGGTATCAAAGAGCTAACTTCGACAAATGATTCTAGAATCAAAAATCTGGTCAAGGCAAATGACGATTCTAGAATTCAAGATCTAGTCAAGGCAAATGATGATTCAAGAATCCAAGATTTACTTACAACAAATTATTCTAGTACATGTATCAGGGATCCAATTACACCAAGATATTGTAGTATAAAAGATTTAACTTCATTAAATGCTTCCAGTATCAAAGATCTCATCACACCTAATGATTCTAGCATCATAGATCTAATCACGTCGGAATATTCTAAGGTCAAGGAACTAATCACATCAAATGATTCAAAAATCAATAGTCTACTAAGTCCAAATAAGACCAACATTAAACGGCTAATACAGCCGGACGATGACTATATTGAAGAGCAGCTTGCACGTACATGTACATCAGATGATGAAAGCATAGAGCATGATACCCAAGTTGGTGATTCTGAAGAACAGCATATGTCTGATATTTCAATTTCACCGCGTCATAGTCTGTCAGACGCTTCCGTGATGGAGCTACTCACATCCTCCAATTCGTCCACGAAAGACCTTCGGACTCCAACAGATGATTTGAATGCTTATCTCATCATAAAGACTTCTAACATCAAAGACCATGAAACCCAATCAGATGGCTCTGTGAAAGAGCTACCATCACCTGGTTCAGGAACCACAGTATGCCAAACCTTTGCACCATGTGATGATCTCCTGGTGGAGCTCCTAAAACCAACTGTGTATGCAAGCAAAGATCTTCCTTCAATTGACCTTTGTTGCCATGAACCTGACAGACAAAATGAGCCATTTTCTGAAGAGAGTCACAAACTACCTCATTTCGTGGGCAAAGATCAACATCCTCAACCTGATACTTTCACCAAGGAAGCAACTGATGATGAAGTCTTCAAGGAGCATCAGACATCATCGGGGAGCTGCAAGGAGTCACAGACTGAAACCAGTATTCCCATGGCAGTCGAACGCAGTCCGATGGTGGTTCCGTTCATCTCAAGAAAATACTGCATCAGCGACAGATATGGAGAGGTGGGTACAAGTACTATTTCAATCATCCCTTTATATTAACCCATAGTTTACTGGATCTAGATGGTTCCTATATTAAAGCCATAGGTAATTATACAAATGTCAGTAGTCAGTGGGTTAAGTAATTATAAAATTGCAAATATTGTGAAGGACAAAATATGTAAGCAAGAAGTAGAGGAGCATGAAGTTTTTTTTTCCTCTTATCCTCAAGCGAGGTTTTTATTTCCATAATAGTAATAACTCAATGATTGAGTGAAACATAACATAGGCTAAAAATTAAAGTATATTCAACAATTCTTCCAGCTTAGTATTATTTTCTTTGCTAACACATTCATATCTTAAAAATAATCTTAGCAACGACTTGAATTAAAAAAAAAAAGTATGTGGGTAGTAAACAGAACCATTAACAATCTTCTTAACGTAACATTTATAAATTGCATATTGCGCATAATTTAAAATAATATTCAGAAGTGAATATTTCTTGTTCCCAATATCCATACCTACAACTATTATCTTCTGGTCTATTTGTTTGTATTTCTTTTTGGAATAGATTAACTATCAAATTACATATTATTTTCCAAAACAAAGTCACATCCTTGCAATATAACATAAAATGAAAAGTTGAGTCACCTTGTCCACAAGAGTTGCATAAATTATTATTAACAATTTGCCATTTATATAAGTTTTCTTTTGAGGCAATAAACCTATGAATCATCTTGAAATTAAATTGTTTAACTTTATTATTACGAATTTGCTTTAATTTAAATAAAAATACATCCTTCCAAACAAAGTCATTATCCAAATCTAAAAAGAAATTCCAAAAGTAAATGATATTTGGTTCTCTTGACTTTTTACGTATTAACAAACGATAGTAATCTTTCACTTTCATAACAAAAACATTCACTTTATCCCCTGTTTCTATTTCAATAATATTCGAAATATCACATTCTTGTTCAAATTCATAGCTTAATCTATCCAACCAACACTGTGGAAATGCTTTCTTTAATTTTGTAAATTTAAAATCAAATAAGAGCTGTTGTGCTTTCACTTTTATATTGTGTGACGTACGGGACGCTGCGTGCCGTACGTCACGCAGCACATTAATTACATTAAAAATTAATCAAAGAATTGGTCAGAACTAAAACTTTCCACAAATGAACTAGCCCATAATAGCCACAGACTCATACCAAAAGATAGCCATATAAATAATTTCATCTGTTGTTATTTCTTGTTTAAAGTCTCTGAATGTCCCGTACGTCACAATCCAAATAGCTTGGACCTGCCCTGCTACATTGTTCTGATATGATTCAATGTCTCTCAAAACAATATACATTTCAAGGAACTTTGTCTGGAAATTGGAAACCTGCGATATTTGATAGAAAAACATAAGTGAATATTTCTTGTTCCCAATATTCAGGATTTTAATAATTATTTTCCTTTAAAAAATAATCTTAATATCTTATCAAATGCAATATGGTCATGCAATAGAAATGGACACAGTATTTGTGTTCATATTTTTTTGCTTTTTTATACAGTATGCATCTGGTATATTATTAGGTTCTGGGTCGAAGGATATTGGGTCAAACCACAACATATGGAATGACTGTCTCAAAAGGGTTAAAGACCATTGTCTTGATGAATGAAATGGAAGAATTGTACAGAAATAAATAAATATATTCTCATAATTAGGCCAAAAAAAAAAAAGCATTTCCTCATTAGATAATGTGCTGGTGGAGTGAAATATGTATGCTCAATCATCAATTATTTCACTGTCTTTTCTCTCTTTTTGTTATAGAAACAGATGGGAGAATCCGCATCATCTTGTCATGGACCGTCCTTGAAGTCAAAGACAGATTTGATCTCTGGACAGATTCCTCCTCTCTCCGAACTGCTCCTCTTGAAATCTGGTGATGTAGAGCTCAACCCAGGCCCTCGTGAAGCGTAAGTCTCTTATATTTCTTCAGCTCAATTGACATATGAAAGTTCACTTTCAACAATAGACACATCCACTTTTTATCAAAATTGACTATTTTTGCATTATGAATGTACTATTCTTTTTAGTCGACCGCATACAGTCAAAAAGTTGAATTTTATACGAAAATATACATTGTATGTAAACACTTCTAGCCTGTTTCTAGCATGTTGAGTACCCTAACATGCTACATCCACTTCAGTTTGGTTCCAGAACTTGATTCATCCATAAAACAATGGCCTGCTCTGGGAACTGACCAATTCTCAAATGTTTAAATGTAGTCGAGTAGTTACAGGAAAATAATGATAATGCAATATAGGAGTATTTAAACAAATTGTATTTCTTGGAACTTAGTTTTATGGATGTAGCATGTTTTGGAACATGAGGCGTAATCTATCGTTAGTATTTCAGGGAGTAGATTAAAAAAGGAGGCTAAAACATGAACGTAAGGAGATAATATCGGCCTTTTCTAAATAATAATTGAAATTGTATATGATATACTTCATATCATTTGTTTCTTCCTTAAATTCTTTTTTGTTCTGTTGTTAAATATTTCTAGATATTCAACCAGACCAATAGCCAAAGACATTGAATATTAAATCCATGGACCCTACCAAAAACTAACCAAAATGATATCTATTGCATTGAAGTGAAAATGAGGCATAGACTTTGGTATCTCACTGCACCAAAATGATTTACATAAATATATATTATAAGACAACAATTTAAATCAAACTGTCACTCCATTCAGATGCAATTGATTTTATGAATATGAGCTCCTTTTTAGAGTACTGAAGTGTGATGTCATATACTGGCCAAGTTGTCAAGGTTCCTGGTTCCAAACAATTTTGTACTCAACAATGGTGTGGTGATCACACCAGCCCCAAACACTGAATTTGCCCTGCTCCAGCCCCTGAATGATGTTGCGGTGAAGCTCACGCACATTCTCTGTTGTTTACAACCAGTAACTGGGACGATGAGCGAATGTGACGTTAGCACTTTGGTACTTTTTATTTGATGTGTGATTATGAGTTCATTAATTTTCTTCTGACAAAAGAAATGTTACACGATATAATAATATTCAAATAATCTTTTTTTGCTCAGTAGGAAGATTGAGCTATCCTTTCTTTCTCATCAATTTTGCTGTTAGGGCTGGGTGGAGCTTGGACTTGGAGAGAGAGTTGCTGTTATTGGTAGAAGACGTTTCGCCGCAACACTACTATCAATTGTGCCATGCTCTAGATGTCTCCCATGCACGAAGTAAAATGATTTTAACACATAACCTCTTAGATGTGTCCAAATCACTGCTTGAAGTCATCTGCACCTGGGGAATCAAGCAGAGGGATGGCACTAATTACAAGAGACTTCTAGCTGAAAAACTCAAGAGTGTACATTTAGGTGCATTGGGAACAAAACTAGTAGAAGGCGAGTTCGCTGTGCAATTTATGTATATATAATTATTTATTTGTATATGTGTAGACCTACGTGACACGGGGGGGGGGGGTCGGATCACTCCTAGTCAATAGTCAATTTTAGTCAGATCCATGTATTTCAACAAGAATATTACAATTTTGATTTAGACAAGACATATATTTACACAATATTCTAGTGTAATTAGTAACAATCATTTTCATTTTTATCTAAAGTAGATATTTTTTTAAAGTAAATAATTTGGCAACATTTTCTTTCATATTTTTATTTGTAAAAAATCTCCACTGTCATTTAGCTATTATGACTAATTGGAGATACTAGAGCTTTTTCTTATCTTCTCCTCATTGTTGAATTTCGGCTTCATAAGCTGCAAACATCACTGTTTCATAGGGTCAGCCAAGCAGCGGGTAACCTTTTACAAAAATCTCTCCACGATTTATAAGGTTTATCAAGAATCTGATCATTTTACTTTTAATTTACCTCCCGATAGTTAGTTTAATAACTTTAAAAAATGCAGTTACTTTTTGCAGATTGGAACTCGTGTTTGTAGGGGCGGGGGTGGGGATAAGGGCATTTGCCCCCTGAAATATGGTAATGTTTTGTCATAAAAGGTTACTGGATAGAAATGAAAAGCATAACTTTTAATCTAACAATTAAACAAAAAAGCAGTAACGTAACTGCCTAAACATTTTGTGGGGCAAAAAAGCGAGAATGTTTGGGGGAAATGACTGTATAAACACTGTTACACAGGCTTCAATCAGTATAAAGGTGGAACCATGGGAGCGGCAAAATTTACTCGTCTGACACATTTGTTTGAGGCCTGCCACGTTTAAGTAGTATTATAAAAAAAAAATTAAAAAAAGTCTCCCAAAATTGGGTTAAAGCCCGGCCCCCCACTTCGTGAACTGAGGGATACCATGTGTGTTACCAAAATGTCCGGTAAAGGGGTACTTTTCACGCACCAAGGTCCGGCTCGTAGTACACTAAAATTCGGCCCGTATTGACTTTACACACCGGACTAAGGGGGTGTTTTCAAAAGTAGGGAACATGCATATGCGTACCCTAAATAACACTGAGTGGGGGGGGGGGGCGGTGTTAAAACAGGTGGGCCTACTCCCTCTTTGTCAAATTCAAACTTCTGAGCTGTTCTTTTTTATTTTAACTTTAATCATAATTTGCTGTAAATATTGATCAACATGACAATGTTGAAAAACATATTTATTTTAAAGAGCATTCAATTTAGATACAGTTGTCTCACTATTTTGACTTATAGGTGGATACTCGACACAAGACACCCCAACGATGTGTGAGTATAACATGATGATCAAGTCCTGCAAACAGTTACAGGGTGAAATGCTGTTATATTTTGGAAACAGTATGGAACTCAGAGAACTAATGGCAGCAATTATACTGGAATAAATTCAGATGTCAAGTCGAATATTAAAGGGCCAACAGTGAGGCCACCATTTCCCCAATCACCAAAGCATACATGTGTATTACTATCTATGTTGACAATTAACGTATCTAATGTTTCAACATTTCTTAATGAAGTTGAGATTGTTCACAAACCTTTTTAAAAATTGATTTAAAAACTACTTGGGGGAAGGTGTGAATAGCTTGATATCTAGGCCTACAGTTAGGATAGAGACATGGTTGACAAGCTTAATATGTCTCAAGTCATAATATGTTGAGTGTATTCATGTGTGCGTGTGCATACGTGTCATTCATAGGTGTCGCAATATGTCCACAACTGTAGAGATGAAATATAGGGGCTACAGAAATTAAGGAACTCTCGTTATGATGTTTTATGTCATGATATTCTTTCTTGTTTTGACTGTTTTATTGGATCAACCTTTAACCATACCTGTTTTTTCTTTGCATTATGCAGCTTCAGTTGCAGATGAGGTGCACCGTGTAAACAAGCTGACACAAGAAGAGGATATTAGGTGCGGTAATGATTTCAGGGCATTCCATCGCACGATGATGTGTAAAATCAAGACTGGTCCACTTGACTTTAATTCCTTAAAGGAGTTTGAAAAAAAATACAAAAAATGTAGTAACAAGATTCGATTAAGGGAGGCTAAGCATAAACGTAAGGTGATCATCTGCCTATTTTAAATGATCGTTGAAACTTTATATGATGTACGTCATATTATGTGTTTCTTCCTTAAATTCGTTTTTGTTCTGTTGTTCGATAATTCTAGATATTCAACTAGGCCAATAGCCAAATCCATCAAATATTAAAGCCATGGACCCTTCCACAAACTAACCAAAATGATATATGTTGCATTGAAGTGAAAATGAGGCATAGACTTTAATATCTCACCGTACCAAAATTATTTACATAAATATATACATGTATTATAAGACAATAATTTAAAGCAAACTGTCAATCCGTTTAGAGGCACTTGATGTATTAAATATGACATCCTTTATAGAGTACCGAAGTGTGATATCATATACTGGCCAAGTCGCCATGGCTGCTGGTTCCAAACAATTTTGGACTAAGCAATGGTGTGGTGATCACACCAGCCCGAAACACTAAATTTGCCCTGCTGAAGCTCATTGCTTGAATGATTTTGTGGTGAACCTCACGCACATTTTCTGTTGTTTACAACCAGTAACTGAGACGATGAGCGAATATGACGTTAGCACTTCGGTACTTTATTTGATGTGTGATTATAAGTTCATTAATTTTCTTCTGACAAAAGAAATGGTACACGATGCAATCATAGGCATATAGCACCAATTAATCTTATTTTGCTCAGTATGAAGATTGAGCTATCTTTTCTTTCTCATCAATTTTGCTGTTAGGGCTGGGTGGAGCTTGGACTTAGAGAGAGAGTTGCTGTTATTGGTAAAAGACGTTTCGCCGCAACACTACTATCACTTGTGCAATGCTCTAGATTTCTCTTATGCACAAAGTAAAGTGATTTTTGAAAACAACTTGTTAGATTTGTCCAAATCACTGTTGGAAGTCATCTGCAGCTGGGGAGTCAAGCAGAGGGATGGCACTAATTACAAGAGACTTCTAGCTGAAAAACTCAAGAGTGTACATTTAGATGCAGTGGGAACGAAACTAGTAGAAGGCGAGTTCGCTGATCAATTTATTGATATATAATTATTTATTTTTTATACCAGGGGGGGGGGGGGGTCGGGTCACTCGTAGTCAATAGTCAATTTTAGTCAGATCCATGTATTTCAACAAGAATATGACCTGCTCCGAGTCCTAATTTGCATGTGGACACGGGGGGGGGGGGGGGGGGGGCTAATGATGGGCATTCCCCTTCTCTCCAACTCTTCTTAATGTACGTACATGTTAATATTACAATTTTGATTTTGACAAGACATATATTTACACAATATTCTAGTGTAATTAGTAACACTCGTTTTCAATGAATTTATCTATAGTACATATTTAAAAAATAAGTAAATAATTTGGCAACATTTTCTTTCATACTTTTATTTGTAAAAAATCTCCACTGTCATTTAGCTATTATGCCTAACTGGAGATACTAGAGCTTTTTCTTATCTTCTCCTCATTGTTGAATTTGGGCTTCATAAGCTGCAAACATCACTGTTTCATAGGGTTAACCAAGCAGCGGGTAACCTTATACGAAAATCTCTCCACGATGTATAACGTTTATCAAGAATCTGATCATTTTATTTTTAATTTACCTCGCGATTGTTAGTTTAATAAATTAAAAAATTAAGTTACTTTTTCCAGATTGGAAATCGTGTTTGTAGGGGCGGGGGTGGGGATGGGGGCATTTGTCCCCTGAAATATGGTAATGTTTTGTCATAAAAGGTTACTGGATAGAAATGAAAAGCATAACTTTTAATCTAACAATTAAACAAAAAAGCAGTAACGTAACTGCCTAAACATTTTGTAGGGCGAAAAAGCGAGAATGTTTGGGGGAAAATGACTGTATAAACACTGTTACACAGGCTTCAATCAGTATAAAGGTGGAACCGTGGGAGCGGCACAATTTACTCGTCTGACACATTTGTTTGAGGCCTGCCACGTTTAAGTAGTATTAACAACAAATCATTTGTCCCCCCCCCCCCCAAATTGGGTTAAAACCCCGGCCCCCCCACTCCGTGAACGGAGGGATACCATGTGTTTTACCAAAATGTCCGGTAAAGGGGTACTTTTCACGCACCGAAGTCCGGCTCGTAGTACACAAAAATCCGGCCCGTATTGACTTTACACACCGGACTTAGGGGGGTGTTTTCGAAAGTAGGGTATATGCGTACCCTAAATAACACTGAGTGGGGGGGGGGGGGGGGGGGTTAAAACAGGTGGGCCTACTCCCTCTTTGTCAAATTAAAACTTCTGAGCTGTTCATTTGTATTTATAATTTGAGCATATTTCCTGTAAATATTGATCAACCAGACAATGTTGAATTACATATTTATTTTAAAGCGCATCAATTTATATACAGTTATCTCATTTTAACTTATAGGTGGATACTCGACACAAGAAACCCCAACTCAGTGTGAGTATACATGATCAAGTCCCGCAATAGTTGCACTGTGAAATATGCTGTTATATTTTGGAAGCAGTATGAAACCATCAAATCTAATGATAGCAATTATACTTGAATAGATTTAGACGTCAAGTCGAATATTAACCCTAATGAGGGCGGGGTTTTTGAGATCTTTCTCGTACCGGGGGGGGGGGGGTGCAATATGGCCCCCCTAAAATTTGCATGCATGCCAAGTGAAGTGTATAGATGATGGTATTCAATTTTGTGAAAAATTTATGGTAGTTTATGCAAATAAGGTCATAGAAATCCACATTTCTACCCATAAATCATATATTCTTTATTTTAAGCATTCTTGTTCACTACATGTATTTGTTAGACCATTTGGAAAAAAAAAAGTTTGGAATAGCCAGGTTGTTCCTTATGTTATCTCTTCTTTTGATAATTTCTTATGTATTGCAGTGTTTTTTAAACTTTTTTAACACCTGAATATAAACCAAGACCACATAACCAATGTTTTATCTCTTCTTAGGGAAAAA